GTCAGGCGGGCCTCGGGCCCTCAACCCCCACCGCCAGAGCGCCCACGGAGCCACACCATGGAGAGCTGGCCCTCTTGGGGCTCACAGTGTAGCTGGGGGGGTCAGGGGAGGTCAGCTCTCCCAGGCTTCTTGCCAGATGCAGGATCAGGAAGGGAAAGAGCGCTGAGCTCCACCCAGTGGCCTGGCCGCCCGGTTCGGGTGCTGGGGGAGCCCACAAGCACAGACCACAGGCTCTGCGAGGACACTGCAGAGCCAGGGATGGGGCCGGGCAGGAGAACAGAGTGGCCTCAGGGCTGCCCCGCTCAGCTAACCTGCTTGCACAATCCTACTCTGAGTACCAACTACTGCCAATCCTACTCTGAGTCCCCTTCCAGCCGCTGTGTCCCATGTGCACGGTCAGGAGGGCAGGGGTCAGCCTCACCTTGAGGATCTCATTGGAGCCGAAGCCTGAGAGCATGAGGGTGTCCCGCTCCATGTCCAGGATGGCGCAGGCCACCAGCAGGTGCAGATTGGGGCCCGGAAGCCCCGTCCACAGCACCTGGGAGCGCCGGAGGGAGGGTCACAGGCCAGCCTCTGCCTGAGGTCCTACCCAGGCCTGCCCCTGCCCCTGCCCACCTCCCACAGCCTCCACCCACGCCGGCTGCCCACCTCCCACAGCCGAAGAACATCCGGGAAGGGGAATTCCCTCTTGAACCAGATGAGCAGCCACCGGAAGCAGAAGCAGAGAGAGCCAGAGTCCTGGGAGTCTAGAGGAGGACAGCGGTGGAGGGTGGTGCTAAGCAATCAGCAAGCTCACAACCAGTGCCCGCCCCGTTCCAATTCACAGTGTGCACGTCGGATGGCAACTAAGACCCAGCGGTGAGACCCTGCACCAGGCGAGGCGGTAGGTAACTCCTGCCCCGGGTGGGAAGCCTCTGGGCCGAGGCAGGAATGCCGTGTCAACGGGAACCGTCCCCATCCTGCCTTCCAAACCCCGGCGAGGTGAGCCGTCCCGTGTTTTCCACGCACACACGGAGGGACAGTGAGGCCCAAGAGGCGTGAGGAAACGTCGAGCAAACACGGAAACTGGTAGAACTTTCCCGGAAAGTAGCGATGGGGACAGACATTTCAAAAGCTGTAAAAATATCTACTGCCCGAGATACAATCTCACTTCCTCGAATTTTACCTAAAGAAAATATCCAGACTCTATTTGTCACGATGAAAAACTGCAAATGTCCAGGTCAGGTCAAATCTGTTCTTGTACATCATCTTAAATCATTAAGAGGGATAAAACGCTGTGCGGTTGCCGAAACCAGTTTGGCTCCGTGGATAGAGCGTTGGCCTGTGGACTGAAAGGTCCCAGGTTCGATTCTGGTCAAGGGCATGTACCTGGGTTGCAGGCACATCCCCAGTAGGAGATGTGCAGGAGGCAGCTGATCGATGTTTCTCTCTCATCGATGTTTCTAACTCTCTATCTCTCTCCCTTCCTCTCTGTAAAAAATCAATAAAAAATATATTAAAAAAAAAAACAAAAAACGCTGTGCGGTCAATACAAGTGGTGGTTCTCAACCTTCCTAATGCCGCGACCTTTAATACAGTTCCTCATGTTGTGGGGAGCCCCAACCATAAAATTATTTTTGTTGCTACTTCATAACTAATTTTGCTACTGTTATGAATCGTAATGTAAATATCTGATATGCAGGATGTATTTTCATTGTTCTCGACCCACAGGTTGAGAACCGCTGGTTAGAACACTTTTAATGGCCCTGCCGGGGTGGCTCACTTGATTGGATGTCATCCTGGGCACCAGAAGGTTGCTGGTTCGAGTCCCAGTTAGGGCACATGCCCAGGTTGCAGGCTCAATCCCTGGTAGGGGGCTTGCAGGAGGCAGCCAATCAAGGTTTTGCTCACACCAACGTTTCTAGCTCTTTCCCTCTCCCTTCCTCTCTCTCTTAAAAAAAAAAAAAAGTCAGTAAGAAAATCTTTAAAAGAAACTTTTTTGTTGTTGTTATTCCCTATCCGAGTATATTTTTCCATTGATTTTTTGAGAGTGGAGAGAGGAGGAGGAGACAGAAAAACATTGATGTGAGAGACACATCAATTGGTTGCCTCCCACACTCACCCCAACCAGGGCTGGGGATCAAGCCTGGGCCCTCCCGGCTGAGGCTAAAAGAAACTCTTTTTAAAGCCTGCAACCCGGGCATGTGCCCTTGACCGGAATCGAATCCAGGACCCTTCAGTCCGCAGGCCGACATTCTATCCTCTGAGCCAAACCGGCCAGGGCAACTAAAAGAACCTTTTAATGACACAGAGGCAGCTAATGTGCAGGTGTCTCCAGAACTGGCATGAGCTTTCAAGGTCTTGGTTTCCGCTCCAATATATCTCCCTCCCCCACAGTGAGCCTACACTTCACGGAAGAAATACCCATAAAGTAAGCTAAAAAGAATACTACTATCAACAGCAACTTCTATTTTCTTCCTCTTATCTGAATTTCTTGCATTTTTTACACTGAACAAATTCCAAGACACATTTTAAGGCCAGAATGCAGCAGTCCCAGTGCCAGAGAACCAGTGTCCAACCCCAGGTTCAAGGCGGGTGGGAGTTCCCTCAGGAGCCGGGACTGATGGCGGCACGCGGGGAGCGGCGCGTGGACGCGTGGACGCGCAGACACACACCGAATTTCTTGCATTTTTTACACTGAACAAATTCCAAGACACATTTTAAGGCCAGAATGCAGCAGTCCCAGTGCCAGAGAACCAGTGTCCAACCCCAGGTTCAAGGCGGGTGGGAGTTCCCTCAGGAGCCGGGACTGATGGCGGCACTCGGGGAGCGGGCGCGTGGACGCGCAGACACACACTTGCATTTCGGGGTTTGCTCCAAGCCCCCACCCTGCTTTCACCGGTAAGTTTTGGGCTCTGGGTGGTGCCAGATGTTTCTCTTTTTAGGATCAGGACCCAATGTCCTGGACACCGTCTGGGGCTGCTCATTCCCAGAGGCTCTTTGACGACACCTTTGTCCCTGCTGTCCCCCGCCCACCCACCGAGACACATACCCAGGAAGTCACAGAGCGGCGGGTCCAGCACCCGGAGGAGCAGCAGGAGCTGCCCGAGCTGCCGCTTCATGGTCTCCTGACTCTCCTCGAAGTTCCCGTGCTGTGGGGGGAGGCACGGGAGGCGTCGCACCCCATCCTCCCCAGGCGCCCGTCGCCCACCCCTGCTCCGAGCCTCACCACAAGCTCCATGAAGCCACAGAAACACCAGAAGGCATCCACCTCGTTCTGAACGACGTAGAGGATCGGGGAGAGCAGGTCGCTCATGCCCTGGACGTAGCCTGTGGGGACAGGAGGTCAGGGCCCGGCCCAGGCCCTCAGCACCCCCAGGGGCGGCGCCGTTCTGCCTCGGGCGCCCACCGAGGTCGAAGTGGTACATGCAGTAGGTGAGGAGGATGTCGTTCAGCAGGCCCAGCCCCGGGTTCTCCGGACCCTCGTAGAACTTGTTGGTCCTGTCCGTGCGGCTCACGTCTCTCTCTGTGGGGACAGGGTGCAGGGTGCCAAGGTGAGAAAGTTGGGGGGTGGGGGGTCCCATCCCTGCTGGCCATTGACTGCAGCCCCCCTCCCCTCGCCCCAGGCAGGTGTGGGCCAGTCCCCAACCACCTGACACTGGAGTGAGGGCTGCTCCACACTCCCCACATCCTCCGGTGCCATGGTTACTAACCAGCCACAGACGGGAAACTGAGGCCCAGGGTAAAATCACTCGCCAGGATGTACTCACAGTGAGTAGATGGCAGAGCGGGGCTCCAGCCCAAGGAGCCTGGGTCTCCTCCCTCTCCCCTGCTTCGCCTCGGCCCCTCGGCCCCTGCTCACCCCCATCCCCCTCAGATGCCCTCACCCCGCTCCCGGGAGGCGCGGCTCCCAGCCCCCAACCCACCGATGAGGCTGCGGTATCCGTGCAGCAGCGAGTTTCTCCGCTCCTGCTCCGGGCTCACCGACTTCCACTGCAGCTTCATTCGGAAATACTCGTCCCTGAGGGGCGAGGGGCGGCGTGAGGGCGCCTGCCACCTCCTCCGTCTGCGGGGCTCAGCCCCGGCCACCACCCCAGAGCCCCTCCCTGACCAGGCAGACCCCCTCCTGACATCTCAGGGCACAGAACTCCGGATGTGGGGGCCAGGCCGCATAGCAGGGGCACAGCAGGGGCACAGCATATACAAGCAAGAGGACGGGTGGCCCACAGTTCAGGAAGCAAAGCAGTGACCATGAGACAGTGGCACCAGGACAAACGGCAGCGGAGGGGCAGGCCCGGCCCAGCCGCCGGTCTCCCCCGTGCACAGGTGCTGCCCAGCACGTGACAGGCTCAAACCCAACGTGCGCCGTGCCACGTGCTGGGTGCTATGCCACGTGCTGGGTGCCCTGCCACGTGCCAGGCGCCCTGCTGGCCGCTGGGATGTGCAGATCAAAACCCGCCAATCAGCGTGGGGGCTCACTCACGTCTTCTTGCGCACGTGTGCCTTGTGCTCCTCAGCGGAGCCGTCCCAGCTGAGGTAGCCCAGGAGGAACTTCCAGGCCTCTCGCCTCAGGCTGGGGCTCAGACCCTGGGGGCGGAGCGGGCGGGAGCTGGGAGGGGGCCCCCAGGGCTCCACGGCCGGCCGAGGCCCCAGCTCCACCTGCGGGGACACCACAGTGAGCCCTGACTGTGGGGGACCCCACAGCCCTCCCCAGCCCATCCCGGCCTCCTTCACGTCCCCTCAGCCCTTCTTAGCTCAGCAGACAGGTAATGTTCAGGGTCGGACGGGAAGCAACTCCGTCCCTGGGTCAGGGACAAAGTCACCCCAAGTCTGGAAGGGCCCCCCAATAACAGCCAGCACCAGGAGCACAGGCTGTGAGCACTTTCCAGTCACTCACGCCACCCGATGAGGGTGGTGCCGTTATTGCCCCTTCTCCGGGGACAGGACGAAATGGAGGCGCTGGGAAATGCAGGCCCACGCCCGCGGTGGCAGCCCAAAGTAATGGCGTCGGCCCTGCTACTCACACAGGAAATGACCTCGAACCCAGGCTCGGGCTCGTCGTCGGGGACCGGGTGAAGGTCACGGGAGGCCCCCTCCGGGTGGGGCTGCAGGGCTCCCCGGAAGAAGTTGGTCACGCGGGAGAAGCTGTTGAAGGTGGTGGAGTAGGGGTCCTGGAGGAAGCGCTGGGGACAGACGGAGAGTGGTCAC